TGCATAACCTCATGAAAACCGTTGAGTCCCTTATAAGGGTGGCATTATTTTTCCAACTCTTGTTCCTTGTCTCTATTCATTAACCCAAGATTTTGCCCATGTATCTCTCATAACTTTAGGCTGGGTGATACGATTTACTGATCTACGATATTTATTTACGGGTTTCACATTCGCCGTGACTTAAATTGGTAACCTAGCATTCCCATTATTTTCATGAGTGTTTATATCTCGACGACTACGATTTTCCTTTTCTCATCTAATATTCCATGATTTTTTTTAAGTAACGAGTTGTGAAGGTGTGAAATGAAATTACCTGAATTGTGTATAAGGAGAGAGCGTGATGAGCTCAAGTCGTTCCAGAAATGGCCATAGCATGTAGTCAGGGAATCCTGGTGTTCGACCTAAAGCACAAAGAAATCACAAATTTAGTCGTACCTCACCTATCACAGTCGATTACCTACTAGTGAGAAAGTTGGGAACTAACTCATTCTTTGAATTATCAACCCTTATCGTCTATTATCTCTGAGTGAACACACGTGTTTATTGGGAAATTTAAAAAAAAGGTGATTCATCATGTTGATCAAAGTTGTTGGAAAAGGTGTGTAAATTTCAGGGTTCCTATGTTTCTTAACGCTGGACATATCGTTGGGTCAAAAAACAACCGGAGAACAGCAACCCTTGGAGGCGAGATCAACTATCATACTAATATATCTGAAGGTAAGCAATATACAGCTTTCACTTTTAGCGAATATTTTGTTTCTGTTTGAAGGAAATTTTTAGCAGATGTTAGCAAATGAATGAATTTAACTAGCACAACATGTCTATGAATACCTGATATGCACTCTATAGGATTAACAGCGAGATCTTTATTTCTCACCTCCGTAAAAACTATCTTTAAGCAAAGCTTCGGCGCCACGGAGCGCCGAATGCAAAGAGTTGTCGGTTTTGCGTTGGGCTGCGGGCGTATTCGAGTTGAACAAGTCGAATAAAACGTTCATCAGCTGTAAAACGGCTCTGAGATTAGCTTGATATGAAACATATTCTATTTATAAAAATGGAGATATGCAAATTCAATCAAGATACAATATAAAGAAAAATTTTAGGAAGCTATGAAAGTGGATATTACCGGTGAGAGGCGTTCGGCGATAACCTTTTGTTGTGCTTTTTCGAATGGATCCCGTGGAAGTACCGATGTCGTGGGAAACACTTCGTCAAGGTATTCAGCGAGTACTTTTGATTCCCATATTACCTAAAATGTTCTTCATTCGTTAAACTAAACATGGGCAATTCACAGGACAAAGACTATGTAGTAATCGCAACTGGACACTTGCTGCACACTTATTCGATTGATGAACAAAACGCTTTAACATTTTCATACGTCTAAACATGCGCGCTTTGTCTACCCTTCAATAACCGACATCACTCGTCTAAGCGGACTTTACGATGTGTTGGCCCGTAGGCTTAAGTGTTAGCGATTTTGACGATAACAGTTATGTAAAATCGCCTTTACGAATTGCAGGTTCTGCAACATATGACATTTGCCTGCCTAGGATATAGCAGAGGCCATACATGAACTAATACCAATAACGGCAAACTAGCGAAAGTTGTCCTCACGCCCGACACTGTGATGCCAACGCTACGCTTAATTGGACTAGTCTTCTTTCTGCGCCGTCTTCATTTTGTACCTGCTTCTCTCCATCGCCCTACCTTACCTAATTGGAAAATTAATATTGATAAGTTATTATATTCATATACATAGAATTATTATAGTAAGCCCAGTGATGAGAGTGCCCGATATTGTGCACAGCTGTTATAGCTTCACAGCTCTAAGATTTCAAACCTACACACACACGCTCCCCCCCTGCGCTCTACTTCCGTTGATCTTCGCACCGCACGGAACCACTTCCAACTGGCGATTTAGACTAGATACAGCTGGGTCCTTTGTCAGGATTACTATTCACCTCATTTCCGATTCCATACACTAACTCAGTTGTCAATAGCAGAACCCTTTAAGAACGTCTTATAATCATTTAAAATCTCACGCCACCAAAAGGCATCGCAGATACTCCAATGTTGTGCAGACGCACAGAAATATACTGTAAAGCTAAAAAGCAGAGGTATAAAGACAATATTCCCACGCGGAGTTTTACCAGCCCACTGGAAGCAACTGCGGATTTTGTTGCGCACGGGGTACAGTCCATCTCGAAGTCTGACTGAGCGTGTCACCGGAAATGACGTGGCGGCCACCGCACCTGATAGAAGAGCGCGGATGAAGCTGCTTCCACCATGCCTTGCTGATACCAGCTCATCGTCAGTATGTTAGAATTAGGTTATCTATATGACTTCTATAAAATGCGTTAGCCGCCACGTCGTTTCCGGTGACAAGCCAATCTGACTTCGAGATATGGGCTGTATTCAGGCGTGCATGCGCACACTAAATTCAATTGCGCATCTTCCAGGCAACGTTCACAGTTTGCGACTCCTTTGGACCGATGTCAGACTTTGCGAATCCGAATTCGCCAAGTCTGACATCGGTCTTGCAGTGCGCTTGCGGATCGAACAAGGATTGAAAGTGTATCGACCGCGCGCACACTACAGGGAGGAGACACGGGTCGCATATAGGCGAAAAATTTCTTCAACGGTTTTACACCCTGTCCATGCCGGATGGGCCTGCAGCCAGCTCTGCCCGTCCGGAGATAAGGAGCTGGCAGGAAGTTCGCTTATTGCTTGATAGACGCGACTGTAGCAGGCGATGCAGCTTCTTCAGCATTTATGCCCTCCACTCGGAGTGAGTAATACTACTATGTAAGCTGCAAAGCGACCTGAAATTCTTATAACACTGGGTCAAACGTTAATCTGAACTTATCCGGCCCATTCTGTGCTATACCTCTCAAAATTTTTGTCTTATGTTTGTATTTTACACCCAGAGAAAATGGTGCAAATTTTGAATGAAATAATTTTTTCAAATGACTTACGGTAAATTCTTCTTTGCCACATAGATTACCATACGCTGAGCATATGGACAAAAGCGCATACTGTAGAGGCGATAAGTATTTGGAGCCAAATAAGGTTCGAATGACCCTGAAAGTGAATCCCGTTTGTCTGCAATTATAGCTTTAGTTTTTCTTATGCGTTTCTTGTAGCACCGCCTTTTTCTTTACTGGGCAGAGAAAATTTGGAAAGTTCGCGAATGTTGCGCTCACAAATGCCCTCCTCTTGCGCTATTTCGCTGTAAGTGGATGGCCTGAAAATAGCCTATTTACAACATGGACTAGATGTCATCTAATTCATTGAGCCGCAATACTAACCCTGCTGCAACTCTCTCGCTCTTCTCACACCTTCACGTGGATTGCGGGTCGAGTGAGCTTCTAAAGCCTTTGTCGCGCACTTCCAAGCCGCAAAACAAATTGAACGCGAACAAATTCTTTGCGAATTATTCGATTTGCTCGAAACTGCCATACGCGTCACCAACCCCGCGATGACAAGGTCTTGAGCATACCGGTTGTATTTGTGAAATATAGTACTTGTAAACCACCCGAGAAACATTTTGTAAATGTTACTTATTTATATTCTAATTCGTCATGTATTCTAAGACGGTATGACTGGTTCAAAAACCAAACTAGGAGTACCTGGATGAAGTGTTGGTGAGTTGAGACCTCGCACGTTGCTTCCGGCTTCAACGTATGAGCTGAATTTGGGTGCTACTGCAGGCGAACTCGGCCATGATGACATAGCTGGGTGCATCTGAACTGCAGTTCCTGCTGTCGTATACACTGGTTCCTTAAGAAAATACTGATAATTATTGAAATGCTCTGGAATATGGGTGTGGTTCACTAGGACAGAACGCGGCTTTTTCGCGTTTCGCAGCGCGAAACATTTCCGCTGCAGGACCTCAGGTCCACCGCTGATCATCAGTGGACCCGAGATTCCCGCAACGAACAATGTTTCGCGCTGCGAAACGCGAAAAATCGCCTCCTGTCCTAGTGAACCACATCCCTGGAATATCACACAAGTTGAATTGAATGTACATGAAAATTCATTCAACTTGTGTGATATTCTGAAGAAGTGCTCATCCCCGGGTTGGACCTTGCAGCACTTGCAAAAGTGAACTGTCATCGGCTGGCAATCCAAGAGGACCTTTCATTGGTCTAAGTCCATTGGTCCACATTCTCAATACCCGTCGCGCCAACGTGGGACACGAACTAGGTGACTTGCGCACCAACAACTAGTGCTACAAAGCTTGTCTGAAAGCGAGTTTGAGTGAAGAGGTCCTCTTGGAGCGCTACACCGAAACTAGGCACCGCTCATGCGACGGCATGATGACTTCATGACTCATGACCCCCCGTATGACGTACAGCCGGCGGTGCCGCCATGCATGCGTCGGATTGTTCCGCTACTCACATTTCATTCGAGGTCATCGACTTTTCCGTAAGCGGCATATCGAGCTACGTAACAAAATTCTAGGTTTCCCGAGCACTGGTTCATCTCATGGGAAATGCATCACACACTTCATTCTGGCAATTAAGAATATCGACATTTTTTGTATTGAAGAGTTTTCACCATCAACAAGAAAGGACCTTCTCAAGTTCGGTGAGATTCAAGGATACAGTGCAAGACGAGATGATCCGGATCGCTATCATTTGTTAGCTCATAAGAAAAGTATTGTACTTAAAGCTACAGTCGATATCCGAAATTTGGGCGTAGGGCATGTCACCGGAAGTTGACATCGCACTCGATAAAAGTTGCAAGCGTTAAAGCCACGAGGTCAGGAATAGGAGGACCCATAGAATGGCCTTCCATTCACTATAATATACCAAAAAAATAGCGCTCGAGGGGTGATGCCACACTTCTTGACTCCGAGATTGCGACGCTTCTTGTCTACTACTGACAGCGATGGGCCGTATTCATCGCTAGTACCCGCCCACCGCGGGACTTTCTGTGCTTGTGGCTGGCCTAAAGTGTGTGAGATCAGCTAGATGCATTGCAGTGTTCAAACGAATAGACGGCTGGCATACCCGGAAAAACATCGTTGGACGCTCGGCCTCTCCGCGAGCAAAAAGCCTCCTTCACTGCTCGCAAAGGGAAGGGTTTCGATTTACGGTCTCATCGTCGACGGTTTCTTTGCGTTTTTTCTTCACCTGTCGTTCCACCTCCCATTCTCTACATCAAATTCAGGGTCGCCATAATGCCAACACAGAGCCTGACTTTGCCTTAAGGATGTTGCCCATGCTTATAGCTGATCCAAAGGAATATAAGGGCGGGGGGGGGGCATACGAGGTGCTATCATGTACTTCAGGTAAGCACTACGCCTTTTGTGGGATTCGGTAGGGCGCGGAAATGTACGTCTGCTGTTGATATGACGTCACGAGCTGACTGATGGGTAGTCGATAATTCTAATACCCAGTATCGGTTCTCGTTATCTTACCATCGCGAGCGGAGGCAATATCAGCCTTCCAAGTACTGTCTGGAGTAACCTCACATATGCCGCCGCTAATGATTTCTTTGTTCTTCAAATAGGTGTTAGCCTTCGCCGAGTGGGCAAGTGCTTGAGGTCCCACGTTCACAATTATGATATTTGTGAAGGAATCACACACACTGTACTGTGCAATACAAATAGACGCGTATTGCTGGGATGTTGCCTACAAACGTGCGCACCGCGTCGCAGCGATCGCAGCTCGCGCTTGGTCGCGCGAGACTGAACGCTGAACAGCGGCGCTCGCGCGCGCGGAGGCATAGGGAGGTAATCCCCGCGGGTGCGGCTCATCGACGGGTGTGGGGGCGACAGCACGCTATGCGTTGCATTCTCTTCCTTCTACATAAGCCGGCGCTGAGATTAGTATCTCGGGCGCAGCCTGTTCGACAGCATTCTGTTCTTCTTCCGTTGAGGAGGGCAGGGATCGACTCACCCAGCAGCTTGTGACGTCAATATCAACGCAAGAGTTACATTTCGCGCGCTACCGTAATTCCAAAAAAGGCGGGCTGCTTACCGAAGTACCGTAATAGCCCGGGGGACGCTAATAAAAAAGAAGACATTTTTGTTTTGTCTCATTTTCCAGATGGATTTAAGAACATTATTGGCTCAAGGCGAGGCGAATGGTCTCAAACATTATTATTAAAGCGCACATTTCCCAATTCTACAAGAAAATCTTCAATGCCGGCCCACTACGGGTGGACGGCGAAATCAGCAAGAATTTGCCCTCGGAAAACACTCGTGCAACCTGCGTGCGAGCTTAATGTGGGTCTTCGAATGTGATGTACACTGAACCGTACTCTTACTGGAAAGCGAGTTTCGAGGGAATTTAACACCACAGGGGTAGCTAGATGCCTCTAGAAAGACTATCCAATTAAATCGATTCGCGATAATTGCCAGTAGAGCTATTTAGGCTGAAGTGCTTACGCGAGCAGACCTCCGAAGCCTGACAGACGGTGACGAATGACGTCATATTCTGGAAGAACGGTGAGCGGCGTGAGTAGGGACCTGTTCTGCACTTATTAGGGACACTTTTTAGAGGAATACTCTGCTGAGGAAACTCCGTCAAACGACAGGCAAATCTCTGCGAGGAAAGAGGAGCGAAGTCCGACATATGGCAAAAATGTCGTTTTTTTTGGACCCCCCTGTATGCTGGAAGCAGCTCATCCACGTAGCTTCTGTCAAGTGCACGTCACTTCCGGTGACACGCCTACCCCAACGCTCGCATACTAAGTATAACTGCGATAGTGGGACGATAAGAAGATAGATAAGTTGGCATTGAGCCAGGTAATTACTCACCGGCGCCACGCCTTTCATAGCGCTGTCGACGGCAAGATTGGCGACATGTGTCAGAAACTGTAAACATAACGCCGCCGACGTGGAACAGTTGCCCGTGGGGGTTACCATAAATCTGAAGCACGGCATTATTAATTGGATTCTTGATCTCAATAAGGCAATCAGCAGAAAGACTGAAATCGAGAGGAATCGTTATCGCAATAGTGAGCATAAAAAAGAATCAGATGGAAAAGTGCAAGCTTGTGTTGGGAAAGGCTGGTGTCAAAGTTCGCGATCCGTCGCGTGACTCGCGCGAACCGCGAACTATGACATCAGCTTAATCGAGACCCAAGTTAGTCGAGCTCAGCGGAATTTGCTGTTGGGATGTCCAGACGATTTCAACAGTGTTCATGTGGGGAACTAGTGAAAAGAAATGGGTTGTATAATTATCATCGGTAGATGCTTTACAATAGCGATTTTCTGCAATGGCGAGTGATGCCACTGCCACACGCAAGTATTGGAAACAAATCTCTATAGAATCCCAAAGTCACTGAATCGACTCCCTTCGAACTTTATGATCCTGTGGAGATCGCTAACCTGTTACCCGATCCATAAATTAAAGGAATTCCACGTTTAAGGCCGAAGGTCAAGCAGGGGAAAATTACGTATATGAAGCAGGCGAACTCCCCCAAACCCAAGGTGTGACCGCACGCAGTAATTGTGGAAGTACATGCCCCGGCGACGTTACATGAACATTCCCTAGGCGATACGCTTCGGCTTGGTACCCATCGACTGGCTAACGCGACGTCGTCCACGGTCTCTAGCCGTTAACCAGAGAGAGTCGTGTTAGCTTGAAGAGACAAGCACCGTGCGAGTCCTATCTAATTTGGGAAAATCGATGGGCGAGAAAGGGTTGTCACTCGTTCTAGTACGATACCATCGTGTTCAACTTGTTTTTTGCCCATGCGCCTCTATCCCGGCACCACTGACCATCTCTCTTCATTTGGTTGGCCGCGTTATAAAACGCAGATTCCCAACCAGTGGGTCAACCCCTATTTGCTACAAAGTAGCAACGGGGGGGTCGATTTTGGTGAGTTTGTAGAAGGGTGGTCGTAGCTTAGCTTCGGTGTAGCGTGGCATTGATGGTGGGGAGCGGCGCCGTGGAGAAATTTGCTATTCAGGCGTGTGTATACGGGTAATTTTTTGGGCGTAAAAGAATTGTTGTGAAGAGGGGTCGTCATGAAACATTTCATGAGGAGGGGTCGTAAAAAACACTTTTCGAAAAGTAGCAACGATTAAGACGACCCTGCCCGACTTTTGATCGTTCAATTGAGCATCGGTCCTTCACTAATCCCTCCCTGCTTTGGATCTTCGCTTATTAACAGATAGATTTCCTCCAATGGCTAACGAATTTGAAAGGGGCGCCTAGTTATAAGCGATACCTTCTCTAACAGTATTAAATTCACCTGGCAAAGGAAAATTGCAAAACCATAGGGTTTTGTTGAAGTCAATTACAAAATCTATGAAACCCTTCGTGGTAATCGTCACATCGCGTGGTTTTATGGCAGTGATTGTTTCACTACGAGAAGCTTTGCGGGGTCCTATCCGTAAGTTTCCACGTTCCCAAATTCATTGATCTGATTAAGTGCACTTTGTAATGAATGGCATGCTGTTATCCATTGCGACCAGCGCGGACTGCGCAAATTACAGAGAGCCCAGGGGATCTACTACAATAAAATTTGAGTGTAGGGTAGATTTCCCCTGCCAGGTGCTGGCGTAGATGAACCAGCGGTACAGTAGATTCTTCCAGGGAAGAAAAGTTTCCAAATTCTACTTTGAAACCCGGCAACATCGTGGATACCACTTTGCGATCGAGATCTCTGTCAGTCCACCGGTGGCTTGCCATTTCACGAATGGGTGTAAGAATTCCAAAGAAAGGATAAAAAGGAGGGAAGATTGTCCTGTCGAAATATCACTGAAGTCTCTGTCTGACTGTGATATCGCACCCTTGCCCCCTTCAGCCAATGCATAGATTCGAAGAGCTTGGTTACCTCAGAGTATCTAGGAGGGCTCCCACACAATTAAAACAGAAACGCTGTGAGAGGGCTCATCCTAATACGAGTATTTCAAGGCAGTCATACATAAACACAAAAGTGGCAAGAGGTTGCTATGAAAAGTAAAAAAAATGGAAGAGAATTGTTAAATCACAGAATAGCAGGGCATGAAAAAGCAGTTCGGCAACATCGAATATTTTCTCCTGGATAGTGCCATAAAACTTGTCCGGGTCATCGTCGAGAACGCTTATATACTCGACACGTTGGTCCACAACGGGCGGAGCGGCAACGTGAGATTTCCGGTTTCCAGTCGGGAAATCCATGAGGAAACATCGCCACCGTCTCAAGTGCTTTTCAGCACCAACATCGTTGATTTTTTAGCAATTCAACGAGTAGCCGGTGGCAAGCCATTGGCTGGTCGGTCATTCGACGCTTCACAAAAGTACGGGTGAAAGAAATAGCATCAGAGGATTACGGCGATACACTACCAGTTTTGCACGCGGCAGACTGGTGCCAAGAGGCGCAAACATTGACATCCGACAGTCGACAAATATTAGACGAGTAGTCCATTTTGTAGTTGAAAATGAGGCTTCTGGGTGAATTCTTGGATCTTGTAGTTCCAGGAGCTGAATAGCTGTTGATAGAACGAATTCAAGCGGTTGGCCATCAAATCCAGCCAAAACAAGGAGCACAACTGATTAACGAAGGCGATCTATACATCAGAGCAGTGCAGAGGATTGTTTGGTACTCAGTCTCGGAGAATAATAGACGGATGCCATCAGTGTGATAGTAGTGTAGCAAAGCGATCAGATTACTCAGCAGTAACGCCTCTGGTAGAGAGGGTGCCTCGAAGTAGGGCTGATGAAAGCACAATAGTGCGATACTCTTTGACTATTGGAATGGATCATCCTGGAAGTATCTCTCGCTTTTACGTAGAGCAAGTGAAAAATGTCACGCGGCACCAAATGAGGATGAAAGTTTGAAGATCATTATGGGAATGCTAGGTTCTCCTGCGACTTATGACATGAGGTGCTGTTTGACGGAAACGAGAAGGTCCAGAAATGTCACAATCATTAATAGGGAGACATAAAAAGGCGACTATGGCCATTTCCACTTCACCTTCCAGCTGCCTCCCACTTGCTTTACTGTGGGCGGAGCGTTCTTGAATGGTGGGAGGAGTAATCCCCACTCAAGTAATCACTATCTTCTGAGGCATTTGCCATTTTGCTGTGCTCGTCAAACTATTCACCTATATACCATCTGTGACGATCTTGAGGGATTGAACTTGCGGTTGGATCGTCGGGTCGACGTCTGAGCCGGGATTCCAAGTCCACAGATCGTTCAGTATGTGATAGCAACATCCATAACCCATGCTACACTATCAGACACAGGCAGCCAGTAAAGTCTCCCCAAATGCAAGTCTTGGGAGGTTTGTAAGTACTACAACTGCTATTGCTAATAGTCGCAAACGGATGAGGTCTAAAAATGGTAGTTTTGGACGATGAGAAGTACAGTGGCTTCCCTTACAAATATTAATCACATGAGGTGGTTTATCCCCATTATGAAGGACGGAACATATTGGATTACCAGTCCCGCTTGGAGTTCATATTTCCGCTAAGGTGAATTGTCTTTTTGCAATTGCACTAAAGAGGAACATTCCGGCGCTTCCTCTCCTTGCAAAAATTGACACCTATGTAAATAAAATATTGAATATTACTGTAAAGCGATCAGCACTGTGGCGTCACATCGGGTACATCCTCCTCGAATTACATATGATCAAGTGATTGCCTGGGAACAGCCTGTCAGGCAAGGAAGAGCTATTGTTTTACTAGCCTGCCGCGCCTAAGTAGCGCTGAGAGTTAGACATTGCTACCCTATGATGGTGGACTGGCTCAGTTTTTGTGATTGCTGCATCCGGAGTACGGTATAAACAGGCTGTCATACCTATTTACTCCTATTTGTGCACGCCATAGACTTCATCATGTAGCTGTTATCTGAGAATCGCACTCTCTGTAACACGATTCTGTTAACAGTACTGCCGTCCCACCGGTGATTTGCTGCCCCTATGATCAGCGTAAACTATCTGAGCGAATCACTGCATAAAATTAGACTGTACTTTCGTAACAGTTCAACCGTTACCTTCCGTCCAGGGTCACTCTGATTCGCCGAAGCTAAGCGACCTGAACGGAGAGACCGGGGGAAGTTGAGTTGTTCGCGGATGAGTGGAGGGAAAGGCCGTGACGACTCTATTTGAGTTTTGTGTATTTCGGGCTGAGGTTTAAGAGTTGTTTAGAGTATACGGAGCGTTTTATTGAGGTTTTGAGCTTCGGCGTTGCCAGGCAGTGATGTATCGGCCTCGAATTCGATAGTGAGGGCGAAATGCATACCGAACCTAGATTGCGAGTAGGTTTCTTACGTAATCGAGAGAGATCGTTATAAATATTACAATCCATCGGGGCACAACGACTGAATCTTTCTTTATTGGTGACTTCTCCGTCTCATCGCTTCATATACATGCAAAAGTGACAACATTCCAAAATAAATACCCCTAAATGCCATAGACATCTTTTCACATAAAATAAAA